GGTCCAGATAAAAATCCCACTACAGCAATACCAGTGCCGTACTTTTAGAAGATTGGGCTTAGGAGGCTAAGCTTCCTTCCTCAATATTGTTTTAAAGGCATTATTAAATATGGGGGTCTAGCTAAAACCCAACTACACAAATATCAGGGCCGTACTTTCTGGAGGTGGATAGACCTCTCCCCATACGCTTAAATAAGTATTAACTGAAAAAATCTTGTGTGTTCAGTCCAGATAAAATCCCAATGCAACAATACCAGGACCATACTTTCTGGATGGGGGAAGTAGGAGGCGAATATTTTAAAATAAATCTTTTTTTTTTAAGTGTTTATTTACATACTATACTCTCCAGTTTTCAAGCAAATAAAATCGATTTATCAAAGTTGAAGTTAAGTTCCTGTATCTTCTTTTCAAATAATTATTTTAATAAAAAATAGTAGTAAATAAAAAACAGCCTTAAAATCACTTTCCAATCGACTTTTATTTCATAGTTGCTGAATTTTCCTATCTTGTCAACATTACCGAATTTTCCGTTACCAAATATTTCGTTAACGAATCTTCGCTTACCAAGTTTTCCGTTACCGAATCTTCCGTAATCGAATTTTCCGTTACCGAATCTTCCGTAATCGAATTTTCCGTTACCGAATCTTCTGATGCTGAATCTTCTGTTACCGAATTTTCCTCCACCTGAATCTTCTGTTACCGAATCTTCTGTAACCGAATTTTCCGTAACCGAATTTTCCTCTACCGAATCTTCCGTTACCGAATTTGCCGTTACCGATTTTTCGTTACCAAATATTCCGTTACCGAATCTCCCGTTAGCGAATATTCCGTTAGTAAATCTTCCGTTACCGAATTTTCCCTTACCGAATCTTTCGTTACCGAATTTTTCGTTACCGATTTTCCGTTACAGAATTTTCCGTTACCGAATGTTCCGTTACCGAATTTTCGGTTAGAGAATTTTCCGTTAGTGAATATTCCGTAATCGAATTTTCCGTTACCGAATTTTCCCTTACCGAATCTTCTGTTTCCGAATTTTCCGTTACCGATTTTCCGTTACTGAATCTTCCGTTACCGAATCTCCCGTTACCGAATTTTCCGTTACCGAATTTTCTCTTACCGAATTTTCCCTTACTGAATCTTCCGTTCCGAATTTTCCATTACCAAATCTTCCGTTACCGAATTTTCCGTTACCGAATTTTCGGTTAGAGAATTTTCCGTTACCGAATTTTCTGTTACCGAATTTTCCATTACCTTCAGTAACTGAATTTTCCGCTACCGAATTTTCCGTTATCGAATATTCCGTTACCGAATCTTTCGTTACCGAATTTTCCGTTACTGAATCTTCCATTACTGAATTTTCCGTGGTCCGTTTTTTACTTGGATGTACCGTAAAACACTGAAGTCTTTTTTTAAGGATGAGTTTGATGTATTTTGTTAGATAGCCACTTACAGCAACTTCTTTTTCCGGAAACTCTGAATAACTACGAGACTTTCGATATATCTTCAAGATGATGCAACAAGAAAAACATAGAAAACACAGCAAAAATCAAATAAGACGGAATCAAGTGCTATACCAGAACGCGATAATTTTGAAGCGGAACAGATTTTATTCTGTTTGTTTTTTAGATGGCATCTAAGATTGTTTGGCTAGCACGATGCGGAAGAAAATGTGATAAGCGAATCAAGTTCAAATTTCATTTTCGTTCATTTTCGCACAAACTGTAATGGTTGAGATCAGTCTTTTCCTTATAAGGAAATATTCAGTATCTATTAACTCAAGATTTATATTTTAATATTGTTCTCTTAAAACAGTTATTTTTTGTTGTTGTTTTTGTTCCTGAAAATATACTTCTAATGTCTACTATTATGGCTGTTCCTATCGGGTTTCTTTTCGAACAAATGCCCTTTGGAAAGGCATGAATCCGTCTTTTTTTCTCAGTTTACGTGTTAAGTAGAAGTGTAGACATGTCTGTCTTGCATTTGGTGGTTAGACGAAAGACTACTCTGAATTCAAATCTATTTCGAAGACACCGAGAAACCATTCCATTAAGATGAAAATTTCTGATAATTAAACAAAAAAAAAGGAATTTGTTGAGAGCCAGGATTGCATACGCTGTCAAAGAATAAGCCATTAAAAATATCCACTCAGACCAGGTTACGCTCTTTAGCATTGATAGGATAATGGTAATGGCAATATTAGCCGTTTGCTCATAAGTACACATTTGGCATTCATAGACCAAGAAGTCAGTACTACTTTCTGTTAACATTTATATATTTCTCTTAAAACAATTTTTTTTATGAAAAAAATTCTCATGTCCAGTAGCTGTTATCGCTCTTTCTAGTAATGATTGGAGTTTCCTTCCTAATCTTTTACTTGAAGTAATCTGGAATTTCATAAATTTGATTATGTCATTATTTTTTCGTCCAGTTACATATGCTATCCATTTTAGTAGTTGCTTCGGTTAAGAGTACTCGAATGATGTAGTTTCTGTCATCTGGCACAGTTGTTTGTGATTCTGTAGCGCCAATTCAAAGGAGGATAGTCTTCGTCAAGCCCTACCGACAGATTTATGCCTTTCCAAAGGGCATTTGTTCGAAAAGAAACCCGATAGGAACAGCGATAATAGTAGATGTTAGAAGTCTATTTTCCGGAATAAAAAAACAAAACAAAAAAAAACTGTTTATTTTTTCTCTTGGGTTTTGTCCAGGGTGAAAATTATTATAAAAAAAATTATTAGAGACCTTACTTATCAATCAAACCTCGCATCTTAGAAATAAGAATTATTTTATTCACATTTCACAATTATTAAATAGAAAAAGAAGCCGTGGACACCCATGATTCCCTGTGTTTTGATCGGACATTTTATTTTTTAAAAAATAGACTTTTCTTTTTGTATATATTACCAACATTTATTTTTAAAAATAGAATTGAAGCGCTATATGTAAACGTTTGCCCCCAGTTGAACATCTGAATAAATTGATTCGCTGAACAGTGTTTACAATTTAGTGAAATATGAAATGAGGACACGTGGAGGCAGAACGAATATGAGAATCTCTCTGGGGCACTCAGGACACACACAACACAAAGGGGATGTAAGTGAAAGAGGCTAAAATATTATCTGTTTTTTCTTTACTTGTTTTGGCAAGAAAATCACAGCTTATGAAGTTACTGACATGGCAACACGTCATTATTAAGGTATAAGAAGGTGTATCGGTTTTGCGTTGTGGTTGATTCGATTCATCTTCGTCTATAGCACGAGAGACAACGATCTGTCATCCGGGGAATAAGTTTCAGCACATGTAAGATGAGAGAGACGGTGAAAGGACTGTATAAAAATTTCATGTGAAGGTTTTTTACATTGAGACCTATGTTTTTTTTATTTTTTTTTGTTTTGTATTTTTTTGTTGGTTTTGTTGTTTTTTGTTTTTTTCGTAGGTTTGTTAGTTTTTTTGTTTTTTTTATAAGATGCTCCCAATGTTAGTCGGGGGTGAATGAGTAAAAAAAAATGAAACGGCTTACATTATTTCTGAGATGCGAGCTTTGATTGATAAGTAAGGTCTCTAATAATATTTTTTATAATAATGTTCACCCTGGACAAGACCCAAGAGCCACTCGGTGTAGAGAGTGTTATTTATTTTGTGTAATGCAAAAATGTGGCACAAGGCCAAAGGTGGGGGAAGTTGAAGTCTAGTCGTCAATCTGTCTTATCTTAAACTTAGCTAGCCACGATTACTGACCCAAACATACCACAGTATTCCTTACACGAAAACAACACATTCTTACTTACCATTCTCAATACAGCCACCATAATACCTCAAAGTCTCTATGAAGTTTTATCTAGTTCCCATACGTACAATTTGTCAGTGGGGGGAGGGGATTTAACAACATTTAAAAAAAAGAAACCGTAATGAATATTTACAAAAAATACAATTCATATACAAAAAAAAAAGTGTTATCAATAAAAAAAAACAAAAAAAACACGATTCTTAATTGAGGCAGAAAGATCAGTAAACTGGACGAAATAAATACGAGGTAGAGGGTTACAGAGTAAGAAATAAGGTGCACAATTTATGGGGATATATGGGTAAAATAACGGTTAACTCTAGAGTGGAAATGATTAAGACCGTAGGGCTCGGGGAAGCATCCTCTTGGAGGAAGGAAATATAAAGGTAAACATTAATTTATGCACCGAGTGGAAAACCTGAAGATGGAGGGAGATAAAATTCAATAATTTCTGGCGCCCGAAGTGTTTTACACACAGCTTAGACGATTTCATTTAGTTTTCCAACGCTTTTCTCTTGGTTTTCAGCGCTGTTGTTTTGAAATATCATATATTGAAACAACAGAATATTTATAAGATCCAATTTTGTAAGAACCAGGATGCAAGTTTGCCGTCGACGACACAGAAATTAGTGCAATTGCTATACATTTTCACCTTAGTTAATTACTTTTATGTAATTAATTACTTTTTTTATTTTTTAAATCGAATTTATTGCAAATCATTTCGATGAATGCTTAATCTATTGAGTGTGTGATTTTGTAAAGTCTGTTTTATGTGTTCATATAATCATTTGACTTATGGCAATATCACGTTAAAACACCGGTTCTCTTTAGATCACTGAAGTTAAGCAACGACGATCTTGGTCAGTAAGTAGATGAGTAATCGCTTCTGAAAACCAAATGCTGGAAACTTGGACGTCTAGGTGGCGTAATGGATAACGATTGGGATTTGGAAATCAGACAGCCGAGTTCCAATTCCACTCATGTTTGTTCCAGTTCGTTGTTCGCAAATCCCCTTGGGAAAGGTATGGATCAACGCTTATCCCTCCAACTATATTTTAATTAATAGAACTTTATCAATAAGATCGTTATTATCGCCAAAGATATGCTTACAATCTAAAAATATTTCCTGTAAAATGGTTGATAAGTCGAATTAGAATTCCAACTACGATTAACAATTCTAAGCCATTATCGATTATACTACCTGCACATCCAAGTTTTCAGCATCTGGTATTCCTAAGCAGGCATCCATCTTGGTACAGATCAGACCCGATAATGCTTAATTTAGGTGATCATACGGGAGCCGGTGTTTCAACGTGATGTGTCCTTAAGACGTGTTGTTAAAAATCAACAAAAATCTCTTTTGACACTGTATTTTATTTACACATTCTTAATGCCTATTTTTTTAATATAATAATAAGGTCCACTGAATTCAAAGTTCAAGAATCACTGAATTTAGATGACTACTGTTAAATTGGTAATGAGGTGTGTGATATGAATGAAAGAGGAGGTTATAGGAAGGGAAGATTATGAGGGTAATGAGGATAGATAACGATTGAGGAGGTTAAGATTATGGAGTTCAGGCCACGCGGGTGTCTGATGCGCAATATAATAGTTCCTGGGGAAAAATTGTGGAACCTTATCCTTACATATGAAATACAGAGGAAATGAAGTTGATTCGACTCCGCGGAAATAGCATGACATGTCCTAATTGTAAAGGTCTGAACTTGTGGAAAGACAGTTTGGAGCTTACCCATTCCCATGTTTATCATATTTACTCGCTTTTAGCATTCTGTGAAAATCGAATGACGCTCAACTTTCCAATGCCAAATGCAACTTGTAGTCCTGACGAAAAATGCTGTTAATCTATACCGTTAAACTGCTAACTGATATGTAAAAGATTTGGACAGAATTTCTGTTCAGAAATTTATATGGCGGCTCAATTTCAAAAGGAAATGAACAAATCGTAAATCTAAACTCGAAGATCCAGGGGGGCAGAAAATGTCGCAATCACGAACCGCACGTCCAATGACAAAAATCCCGATACACTTAAACGGCCAGAAATCTGACACATAGGGCAACACTCACAGTCACTCGCAAGCCGACGGACTAGGTAGACAAGAAAACTATTCCTCAGTTCGCTAACACCAACCGTTTTTAAAGACGTCACAATTTTTTTCATTGATCAACGGTTAGAGAGGACAAACAATATTAGCATATCCGAAATGCATTTATGGCAACATCTGCCACAGAATTATTTTTATTTTGGTCATTTTGTCTTCGGCATATCGTACAGAACACACGTGCCCATTCTCGCGGTAAATGTGACTTTCTCTTTCGCCACAATTTCATATATTACAAAATATATGCTCAAACATATTTAAATCTCAGCTATTAGCGACGCTACGCGGTAAGAAATCTTACTTATCAATTAACTCCGTAGCTTCGTGTTGGAAATCAGATTAAAGTCTAAATTTCGAATACTGATTGTAATGACAAAAGTACGGAGGTGTAGGCTTTAAGAAAGCTTTATTCAACTATGAATACAAGGTTCGCGCATAGTATCCTTTTATAGTCCCAGTAAACAGAAATATCTCTCTCAAAGAGGAGAGTAACAAAACAAGGGGAGACCGCTCTTGATTATTTATAACACGGATTTCCAAGGTATCTAGACAGACAGGTAAGTAGGTCGTTACATTAAATATTGATTCAATAAAAAATCCGTGTTCCTGTGTATCCAAATTCTTTTTGTAATATTCTAAGCTTGCTAAATAGCAATAATCCTAAATGAAAAGAAGGCTAGAAAGTAAAGAAAGACTGAAGGGAAAGGAATAAAACGAATTGTGGAATAAAAGAAAATATTGAACGTAAAGATGAGAAGGAAATGCGTTTGGAAGAAGAAAAATGATTATTTAAGATAGATAAAATAGAGACATCTTTCAGAAATGGTGAGAACACAGAAAAATGGTTAAAAGCATGGAAGATTAAAAAACATGTTTGAAGAACTAATAAAAAATAGGCCATATGAAAATTTGTTGTAAAAAAAATGACGCCTATCTTGGTGTGAGTTTAGCAAGTTGGATTTGACGATGTTCTCGTTAAATATACTTTTGTGACAGATAAGCTATACATGCTAAATAACTAATAGTTTGGTTCGTAATAAAAAATATAATCTTTTTACCGCCAATATTTGAACCCAGGTGAAAGCCGGGAATTCGAATTTCTGATTTTCTTGGCATATTCTCAGACAACAGATAGAAGACCGACGTAACAAAAGTTTCCTACCTCCGTTTTATCTTCTTGTACCGTACAGAGGCACCGTACTGAGGCACCATACAGAGGCACCGTACAGAGGCACCGTACTGAGGCAAACGAAATGAAAAAATTTAAAATGGAGGTAAAACGATTGCAAAAAAAAAAAAACAAAACAAAAAAAACAAACAACATAATTCGAAAAGAAACTGGGTTGAACTTGCCTATTTTGCTTGCAGTTTAATTATTTTTTTTATTGATTTGTAAAGCTGAAGGTGTCCTTTCTCAGAAGAAAAAAATCATATTTGGGTGAGTTGAGTAGATATGCGTTATATTTTCTCTGCGTGGGACAAATAAATGTAAGTATGTATATATAATCTTGTGTACGACTTAGCAACATAAAAATCTCCCTGAAAACGAAGCATGTTTGTCATTCTTTTTCCTTTCAAACATTCCGTTCCATCCGTGAAATGTGGTGTTATTATCTCCTGGCTATAATAATGCCAATAATGGGTGAAATACAAATAGAAGAATAACCATTTCTTCCATAACATACCCGTTAAGCCAATCTGGACAGATAATCAGCTTTCTAAATTCTAAGATGTTAACTCTACTTGAACTTCGACTTCTGACATTGGAAATATTTCAACTGCGATGGAAGCCAATATGTATTATATTGTTGGGGTCTCAAGGAAGCCGACGAACACTTATATATAAAAATATATAAATATCTTTATTGTTCGAGTTGCGGCGAATGGGTAGAGTGAGGGGGAGTCAAAGAGGTTAGGATTGCGCACACAGGAATTGACAGAGACAAATCTTAGGTGAACCTCTAGCCAGCCTATTTGTCCAAAATTCGGACCAGTTATATAACACTTGGACACCTACTAAAATTCACATGGCTATACCTTCTTCCGGTATGTCGTCTACGAAATTTCACGTGGCCATGCCTCTTCCGGAATGCGCCTACGCAAAAACACATTTCCTTCCGCTCAGGACACCTGTGCGCCATGTTTATTCAAGGCTCAGGACATATGTACGTCCTGTTTATTTTAGCCATTGGATGTAATTCTTGTTTATGCTATCGCCAGTTCCGATGACTGCTCACACAGTGATACAGCGGACGTAAGGCCAAATGTCTTTCCTCATCCAATATACAAACAAACATTAGTTTCTCATTCATTGGAAATCTCTATGCGACCAATGTAGTCTTGAAGGAAATAGCGAAAACATATATATTTATTACACATAGAATATGTATTAGAACTAAAGATACACAATTCTTTTCAATTCCAAAACTAATGGTGAATAAAATAACCTTAACACTAGAAAAAAAGCAGAAATATATAACTTCAATAGTCAGAGATGTTTACGATTGCTGACACAAATATTAAACAGTTACAAGATGCAAATAAGATATTTGATTAAAATAATCACTCCTCTACTGATATTAATTCAAAAGAGTTTCTTGTCAAACTAATTTGTTAATATCTGGCGAGTCGGGTTCAAATTTCGGCCCAGTCTGTTCCGTTTACAATGTTACTAATACCCTTGGGAAATGTATGGAACAATGTCTTCTCTCAGGCAATTTAGTGATTTCTAGCCTTGGATGGCAACCTGTCTAGTAGAAGGGTTCATTTGAATCTTAAACCGTTGAGAGGGCAACGGAAAACCACTCCACGATCTTTTTTTAACAAGTTTTGGTAAGGTTCTGTGTGGAGCCATGATCGTTTTTGTTCGGAAGGGTCATGGAAATTAAAAAGGAGGAGGGTCAACACAAAATCGGAGATTGCTTTTTTTCACTGTAAATTATTTATTATATCATTATATCATATCCAAGTATTTTACAAAAAATTAGAGCCGATTACACAATATAATATTTCAAGCCCAATTTAGGTTTATAATTCGTAACATCAACCGTAGATTTGTCTATGGAATATCATTACATTATTGTTACATAATTATAGGCAAATCATTAAGGTTTTTTGTAAAAAAGTATTTTATTTTTTGTCGTATATTAATTTAAAATATTCTTTTTTACAGGCTTTATTTTATTTAAATAGAATAAGATCATTTTAAAATTCAGAATTTCGCTCTTGCTCATCAAAATGACTGGAAGAATGCGATCTAAAAAGACAGGTAACAAAACGTAAACGAAATAGCTGTAGGTTGTTCAACTTAGAAAACTTAGGACTGCAGCCAAAGTATTCTAAAATACTGCCAATAACAAAAGATAAAATGAAAAATACTTAACAACAAATCGAATGTAGCATTAAAATTTATATTATTTTTATTAGGTTGGTGCAAAAATAATGACGTAAGAATGTCGTTTTTACGTAGAAAAGTACGTCAAAAACGACATTATTACGTCATTATTTTTGCACCAACCTAATATTTATTTGTTATGTAACTAAATAGATAATTGTCAACAATGTTTGCACAAAGTTGATATTTCCTGTAATAAATTCTTAATAAATATTATTATTTTTATTATTTTACTTAAGTGTAACGTAGTCCGATATTTACAATTCCTTAGGGTCAACTATGAAGATAAATCTTCCTAAAACCTTAAAGCCCGTATTGCCGCAAAATTATCAAATGTTGAATACGCCCTTCCTACGCTATGAATGCGTCATATAAATATGGATTACATGAACCATGTAAACGAAAAAAAACTGCACAAGAATTTTCTACGACGTCCCCTTGTCTATCTAACCATAAAGAAGTTTAATATATCGTAATTTTGCACCTTTGCATCGCTGGCTTTCAAGATTTTAGACATTGTATCTTTACATCCAGTCAGCAAGACTATATTCATGTTTTTCATTTCATTTCCCTATCAAAGTAACTATCTGCATATATTTCTTTTTTTTTTTTCTTTCACCAGGTTTTCTTTTTGTTCTTTTACTTTCTTTCTTTCTTCCCTCATTAACACTTACAAATTTTCTCTCCACCTCTTCTTGGCATTTCCCTGTGCTTCTCACCCAATATTATGCAGGTTCTCCGGTTGGAAAAAAAAAGTAGGGATTAGTGATCGGATAGATATTAGACTTTGAACTTACGT